ATAAATAACAGTGATTACATGGACTTTATAAGATTATTTTAATTTTAAACTGTTACATTATGTTCTGCTCATATATCTTCTGTTAATAAATCCATAACACAAACAGCTTTTCTGACATTATTTAAAACATTAGATAGATTATATAAACTGTAAAATATTAATAATAATTGGATTAATATTATTATTAATATTAATATAATTTGCGTAATAATAATTAATATATTTTAATGATTTCTACATCATCAGTCCTTTTTTTCTGCTCTGTTGTCAACATGTACAGTAATGGGAAATCCAGACTTGACTGTTTAGCATTAGCCGTTAGCTTCACCAGTCGTTCACATGGTCACCTGGTTTAACACACTCCAGCTGTTCTATAGGACCTCCTTGGTGGTGACTAGGGCCACCCCTGGGTACCCCCTGGCTCTGCCCCTGCTGATCATGTTATGTCAAGCCTAGATTTATCTCTTATCCTGGATTTCTCAATCCTGGTTCTGTGAAACAGCCCTCTGTTTTTCTCATAAACTTTGGTAATACTAAACCGTAAATGACTCGCAAATCTTTTTTAGACAGTTTAGTCACAAAAAAGGTCATTTAAGTACTTTAAATCACTTTATTTATGACATTCCATTTCTTCTTTTTAAGATAGTTGTTTTTGTAGAGACTCACAGTAAGGACTGAGCTAAGACAATAATCATTTTTCTGCTCTAGCCACACATTATCTCTGGACTCCCGAGGGGAAAAACACATTTTAGGCTGATTTCTTTTTCATTCCTCAACCATTAATGCAAGTTCCCATTTTAATTAAAGTACATTTGTTTATAATAGTAGTACATAAACCCAACAACCCAAGTGGTCTACAAATTCTCTGGACTAAACTCTAATAAAGTGTATTAACAGCTACAGGAGATTATTTAAAAAAATATTTGAATTAAACATTTAAAAAAAGAGATAAAGTTAGTCTAAAAGTGATATAAATTAACTTAAAAGCCTCCTGTTGACAAGGAAGTTGTACTATTGTATTTATAAAAGCTTCTATAGAAAATACTTGGAATGTAAAGTAAAAGTACAACAGAGGATTGGCCCTCCTTGCAGGTCTCCAGGTGACATTAGGAACACATCGACTCTGTGATGTGCTGCACAGTGATACACTGTCGGGACCGACTGGAAGACTGGATTCTGCTCCGTTATGCTGGTCTTCACACTGATGGAGCGACTGCTGAGAGTTAAACCTGCTCTCCTCGTGCACATCCAGGTCTCCACTCCTTCTGAATGAATCTGTGCAGGAAAGTTCTCCACGTTTCCATCTTCTTTGTCCTGCTTTCACAGCTTTTCCTGGCTCATCGTTTGGAAAGAAACTTCATCTTGTTTCCTGAAAACAACAAAAAGCAAACAATAAATCAAACGTATAAAACCAGAAGCTCTTTCAACAGAAAACTGATGGCTTTCTGGTCGATTAGGAAATCAGCTGATCGACTGCAGCTGGACAATAAATCTCACCAAGGCCCTTGAGGAACTTGTTTACGCCTCTTTGTTCACTCCCAGGAAGTGAGTCCAGATATTCTTGGGCTCTTACCTCAAAGAGACCTGGATACACAACAGAAGATTTCAAAATCAAATATTTTAAAGAGATTCTCGACCTCTACTTTGATAACTGACACAAAGTGCTGTGCAAAGTCTCGAGTCATCCTTATTTCTTTATACTTTGCTTTAAAAGAGCCAAACTTCCTTGTGTTGCAAACTGATAATCAACTTTGTTTAATTACAGACAGAACAGAACACGTTGAAAAGACACACTGACTCTGTTTAAACTATATGTTCATAAAGTGTAAAATACAAAACTGGATCTAAGATTAACTTAATCAGTCACAAAATTTCCTTCAAAAGAACTCTGGCAGCAGAAGGGTTTTGGGAGTGGACGAGATTTGTTCTGAGATGTTGAAGGTTCTGGACAATGAAGGGCTGTCATGATTGACGTGTCTTTACTGGATCACACGGAGGAACACGAGCTGTGTTTCTGCTCCTCAGTGTTTCCTTCCCCAGCTCATCTCACTGGGCCTCATGCAAGAACATGTTCGTGTTCTTTTCCTGAATTTCTCTTACTTTTGTTCGTACAAAGGGTTCGTACGAACATGTCACGTCAGATTCAACAAACTCTTCTATCTTCAGGAAGTGTGTAAATGAGCTGCGTAAATTCCACCTGTTCTATCCAGCTGCTTGTGCACGCGAGAGGAGATTAGCATAATTACCACCCCAAAAACACCATATAAGGCTATGTTTCCTGCCTCAGATATCAGGAAATGTCCATGCATAAATGACATCGCAAAGTAAAAAAGAAGAACTTTACGAGTTCAGAGATTAAAGTCCTGCTCTCACAGATCCACAAAAAAAGTCATTTTTAGCAGCATCAGCTGTGGAATTAAAGGATCTGCTTTAAAGCTGAGGAATGAAATGATGACTGTGTTACCCCCCAAACCACCACCACCCCAACCTGATCGTCCCCCCCGAACGTCGCAAGAGTCAGATGCATTTCTGAAAAAAGCATTTTAAAATGTCTCCAAACTTCAATTAATGTATAATTTAAGTTGGTTTTTATTTGAGATCTTCATAGTAATATTGTAGTTTTATACAACAGCATTAAAAGCCAATTTCATTAAATCTAACCAATTTATGTCGTTAAAATCTTACTCCATTTCAAACAGAATAAGCCATTGTTACCATAATTATGGAGTGTGATTTATTTTCAACTCGAAATATCTTCAAATTAATGAAATATATAGTTATTGGTGAAGAAAATTCATCTGGAAAACAGAAAACTGGCTGCTCATAAAATTTACGACAGTTCTGGACCACTCGTGAATTTTGTCCATATCTGAAGAAAATCTTAGAATACGAAAAAATTGGTGAACGCCACAAATTCTTACTGAGCCCCTAAAGGGACATGGATTGGGGGGGTGGGGAGGGGACTATCTCGCACCAGTTATAAAGTCGTGCGCACAACTTAGTGACTGGTGGGAATGAGATACTAACTAGAGGGAACGACTTACTAACTGGTGTGGACGAGATACTAACTAGTGGGAACGACTTACTAACTGGTGTGAACGAGATACTAACTAGTGGGAACGCGATACTAACTAGAGGGAACGACTTACTAACTGGTGTGAACGACTTACTAACTGGTGGGAACGACATAGTAAGTGGAGGGAACAAGATACTAACTGGTGGGAACGAGAACGAGTTTTTTCCCAATCCATGTCCCTTAGGGGCTCAGTACCTTCCAACCTAGGTGGTAGACCTCCTAAATTTTTAATCTGGATTTTATTTATTTTCAGCGGGTAGCTTTAGCAAAACTACTCTGTTGCCAAGGAAACTGTAAACATCCAGGAACCGTGGGTGGAAAGGCTCCGAGACTGTCACCAAGCTGTGGCACCGTTCGGAGAACAAGTAATGTTTGTATTTCAGTGTGTTTATTTGCAGTTTGGCCTGAAATACAAGGCTAAATTATGTCACGTATGTCCATTTCAGTAAACGCATAGCTAGTCCAAAACGATCTGAAAGATCCTGTGAGGTATCTCATGCGCATGACTTCGTAACTTGTGGGAATGAGATACTAACTCGTGCGCATAACTTACTAAATGGTGGAAAAGAGATACTAACTCATGCGCACAACTTAGTAACTCATGGGAATGAGATACTAACTCGTGCACACGACTTACTAACTGGTGGGAACGAGATACTAACTCATGCGCATAACTTACTAAATGGTGGAAAAGAGATACTAACTCGTGCTCACAACTTAGTAACTCGTGGGAACGAGATACTAACTCATGTGCACGACTTACTAACTGGTGGGAACGAGATACTAACTCGTGCGCACGACTTAGTAACTCATGGGAATGAGATACTAACTCGTGCACACGACTTACTAACTGCTGGGAACGAGATACTAACTCATGCGCACGACTTAGTAACTTGTGGGAACAAGATACTAACTCTTGGGAACGAGATACTAACTGGTGGGAACTTGATATTAACTGGTGGGAACTTGATACTAACTGGTGGGAACGAGATACTAACTGTTGGGAACGAGATACTAACTGGTGGGAACGACTTAGTGAGTGGTGGGAACGACTTACTAACTGGTGGGAACTTGATGCTAACTGGTGGGAATGACGTAGTAAGTTGTGGGAACGAGATACTAACAGGTGGGAACGACTTAGTAAGTGGTGGGAATGAGATACTAACTGGTGGGAACGAATTAGTAAGTGGTGGGAACGAGATACTAACTGGTGGGAACGACTTACTAACTGGTGGGAACTTGATACTAACTGGTGGGAACGACGTAGTAAGTTGTGGGAACGAGATTCTAACTGGTGGGAACGAAATACTAACTGGTGGGAACTAGATACTAACTGGTAGGAACGACTTAGTAAGTGGTGGGAATGAGACACTAATTGGTGGGAATGAGATACTAACTGGTGGGAACGACTTACTAACCGGTGGGAACGACTTAGTAAGTGGTGGGAACGAGATACTAACTGGTGGGAACGAGATAGTTTTTTTCCAATCCATTTCCCTTTAGGGGCTCAGTAAGTTCTCCTAAATCACTCGTACACACAACTTAAGAACAAATCTGTTTGTACGAATGGTTCTTGCATGAGGCCCACTGTTCCTACTCATCTCCCTCACAGGTGTTTGTTGTTTTCAGCTCCTTATATTGTGTGTCCTTGTGTCAGTTTTCAGCTCTGCACTGTGCGCTCCCTGCCACATGTCCAGGTGCACTGCAAAAACAAGCCATCTAAAAATGTGCCAAAAAATACGAGATTCTATTCAGAATTTTCTCAAACTAAATGAAATAATCTGCCAATGGAATAAGACAATTACACTTGGTAAGACTTCTTGAAACAAGGAAACTATCCAGGCTAACAAGGTAAATAATCAAACAAACTCTGCTCTTGCCTCTTCCTTAGTATATCAGTCTCAAAACAAAATCAAAAAGATGTTTAGACTGGATGTAAGATTGTCAGTGTTGGATTAACTTTTTTGCTGTGTACTTGTTTTTGCTTCCTGTATAAAGTAAGTTTTCCTTTGTTTTTTGAGCTACTTGTGCCCGCCTGCTTCCTGAGTGTTGGTACCCACTGGAACAAAAATGGTACATGGATCACACTTCTCAGCCTTGAAGGGAGAAGCCGACCAACTGTTGAACCTCGGATCCAAAACAGGCAGTGTTGACTCAGGGTTTACAGCTGAGACAAGAGTGGAGACAGACCGACGGTTCGAGACCTCATCAGCAGTAATAAAAGTGTTGTTTCGGTCTGCCGTGGTGAAGGAGCTGAACCAAAAGGTGACACTTTTAATTTACTGATCCAACTGGGTTCAAGTCCTCACCTATGGTCATTGGGTGCGGATCACGACTGAAAGAACAGGATCTCAGATAGTGTTGGACAATACTGGCAAAAGAAATATGATCAATTGTGGCATTTAACTAATAACAAATATTATGATTATTAGATAGCAGTTACACTTATAATGAATACTTAATATTATACTAACAATCATCAGTCAAACTAACTTCTACATTTTAACTGGTTTAAAACAGAAAGCTGTGAGTTGAAACCCAGATTTTCCACAGTGGAGTGGCAACAGAAATGCTGCGTTCCAGTCGTATCGGAACTCGAAATTCTGAAGCCGGACTGACGTCAGTTCCGAGCTATAGCGTTCCAGTTTAAAACGTCGGAAAAGGCGTTTCTATTATTTTGCTCAGCAACAATAAAACGTACAATAATAGTGCTCTACGAGATATTCTGAGTGTACAAACAGTGTTAAACATACATTTTTAACTATCACTATAAAGCACTACAAGTACGTCTGACGTAATGTAAAATAAACACAGAACAAAGCCGCGTTTGTTTACATGCAAGACTAGCAACGTTAGCGGTTAGCTCAGACAAGCATGCTAGTACGCTACATACATAAACAAACTAAACAAACAAACAAATTACACTCGTTTTTATTCTGCCTCTCTTCTTACTTTCTGTCTGTTAAGTAATGGGGATGGTGCTTGTGTACGTTTGATTACAGCTCAACATTTGAGAAACATGCTAATGATAGCGTGACCGCTGACAGTTTCATGCGTGCAGCAGCCATGTTGAAATGATGACGTAATGCATGCTCGGGCTGCTCGGGTATGGTTTGGATGTGCCGACCTCCCGACTCGAAACTACGACTTCAGGGGGCGTTCCAGTTGAAAAATAGAACTCGGAGACTCGAAGCTACGACCTCCGAGGGCAAGTGGAACGCAGCAAAAGTCCTGCAATCTGCCAGGACCTGAGTTATCTCCTTTCAGAGCTCACTTTACCGTACTGCTTGTGAGGGACAGATTGGCTGGGTGCATCATTGATTCTCAGCTGAGTAGATTTGTTTCCTCATTTCACTGGAGGAGAGTTTACTGTAGCCAACGTCGTGGCCTCAGTCTACACGTTCTGGCTTTCCTCGTTTTTCAGTTTACTGCAGTGTTTCAGGTGATTAAACAAGTTTGTACAGTTAGAGTTAGCTGCTCCGCACCACCTACTGCCACTGAGCTCACATGTGTTGCACACAAAAATACATCATCACGGGGCAATAATTGCAGTAATTGCAAAGTGGCAAATATTAATTGGTGACAGATTTTCTGATGATTAGTTGTACACAATAAGAAACAGATGAAAGGAGTTTCCTCCTTGAGTTTCCATGACGCAGCCTTAGAGACAAGGTATGTAGCTCAGCAAACACTTTTAAACTAGGTTAGGTATGGATAAAAAAAGAGTGAAAAAGCAGTCAAAATCTAAAGAAAAACATTAAAAACGTTTAGGAAGTCTGGAGCAACTGATCAGGACCTACGAAATACAAAAAGTCTGGTTCATTGGAAACAAACTATAAAGAAATGTGGGGTAACTCAAGACCTTTACATAAATAAAAATGTCCATAAAAAGCAAGCAGATAAAAATCATTCAGATGCTTGAATTAAAGTCTGTTAACATTGATTGAATCTTCGTACCTTTGAGGCCCTGTCTGCGCAGCTCCCTCTCCTGGATGAAGCCGGTAAACATCTGAGTCTCCATGAACACCTCCAGAAACCTCCTCAAGCTCTTGGAAGTGACCGCTTTGCGAAAGGCCTCGCGCTGAAAGGATGAGGAGGGGGAGGAAGAGGGGCTGGGTAAGGTGGGCGAGGACAGGGACTCGTCGTCCCGCTCTGCCCCTCCCATGAAGAGGGAGTAGTGGCCCACCATCTCCACAAAGAAACGCACAAAGGCCTCCGAGACCACCGTGCTGAGGGAGCAGGAGTCTGAAAGGATGTTCAAGAAAAGAAGAAGAAAAAATATTTACCAACATGATACTGAATGAATACAAAGCTTGATCAGCACCAAAAAACAAGTTTCACCAATCAGAACTGTGCATTCAGATTTTAGTTCTTCAGGCTTTACTGGCTTTCAAAGCATTCATTAAACCAACGTTTTCAGGTCAAACTGGTCACAAGACTTTTATTAAAGGGCCAATATCATGTGTTTCTCAGGCATATATTTAAATACTATACCATAATATCGTATCTATGTCACCTTTAGTTATTATTAAAATGCTGTTTATATGTTTAAATCACCCCTGGGACGTGTCTTTAAGCTGAACTTCCTCATGGCAGAGCTCACCCCCTCCCTCCCCACACACCCCGCCCATGACTCCTGCAGGCTCTCGGGTGAAACTGAAAGTGAAACCTAACTGTCTGCTGAGCTCCTAACACTAGTTCTCACTCAGTGAAGCTCTTTTCAGATTCAAAATACCTTTGAGGAAATGTAGCATGTGCGCAAACACCCCCCCCCCCCACCTACCCCTGCTTAAATGGACGGAACAGAAGCGGAAGGTGGTTCTTAAAGAGACAGAGGACAATTTCAAGGCGTTTAGAAGAGGAAGTGATGAGAAGATAAGTTTWTTTTCTATTTAAACATAAAAACAGCATTTTAATAACAGCTAAATGAGACATAGATACTTTATTAAGGTATAGTATTTAAATAAATGCCTGAGAAACACATAATATTGGCCTTTTAAGACAGCTTCTGCCACCTGTTTGAGGGGCTTAAAGAAGCACAAAAACCTGCTGTTTGAATGATAGATTAAAGTGTAACTTACCCCCCCTGTGAAAAGATAACTCCGCCCCAAGGCGAAATTTGAAAAATGCATCAAAGTGGGTAGGGGAGGGGGTGTGGGTGGAGGAAGGGGGGTTAGAGAGCGGAGGTGTGGCCAGGTCGAGAGAACGTGACAGGCAGCTAGCATTAGCATAATTGAGGGGGGGCAGCTGCGGACATGTAAGC